CATGTGTGTGCATGTTTGTGTGTAAATACATATGTGCATGTGTACATGTGTGTGTCTTCTACAACTAAAATCAATATGCTTAAATACAAAAGTTCTATAGATACCTTAAGATACCATAGGTAATTGTTTTTGCTTTAAAAGCTCCTTGATGCAAAGTTTACTAAATCTGGGGGGGGTTCTAGGTAACATTTGGCTCCCCAAAATAGTATGTAATTATAGAGAAGAAGAATAGAAAAGTAAGGAAGAAGAAAGTCCACACACACACACTCATACATACATAAAATTGATAGAAATGAGCCTAATTTTATCACTTGGTTGTGAGCAAAGAAGCTTAGAAATAGATAAAAATATGAATAAGTATAAAAATCAGCCTGAAATTTAGGACAATGCAATGTTATGTGAGTTGTACCTTCAAGAAGCTACTGTATTAATCATTTCGAATGAATTTTGGCAGGTAAATTATTTAAAGGAAATAGTTTATTTTTTAAGTATTTAGTAACTGATAATTTAGAAAAAATAGAACTGGACTCTGGTAAACCAATATCATATCTTAATGACTGGGTTAAGTTTCATTGTTTTCTGAATACAATATCAGAATTTCAGCAGAAAAATGTCTTTCTTATTTAACCACATATCCACTTTCATTATAAGAGAGCAAGATACTGGTAGCAATATCATCAGTAGTCCTGATTTATTTAAAATCTACTCAGAATTTGATGACAAATAATTTTTACGTATCTCAATAATATTTTGGAGACCTTTAGAACATGCCTTAAACAAAAACCTAAGATATGAAAGAAACATTAAAAATGCATGTTAATTATAATTATACTACAACCTCATTTTCCAAAAATCTGAGCTTCTTTGAAAATATGTTTTATTTCTGGGGTGCCTGGGTGGCTCAGTGGGTTGAGCGCAAGACTCTTGATTTCAGCTCAGGTTCTGATCTCGGGGTCATGAGATCAAGTTCCACATCAGGCTCCCTGCGTAGTGGGAGTCTGATTGAGATTCTCTCTCTCCGTCTCCCTCTGTCCCTCCCTTCCCTTGTGCGTGCACCCTCTCTCTCTTTAAAATAAATGAATAAATACATAAAATCTTAAAAAGAACATATAAAATATGTTTCATTTCCAACAACTGTTTGATATCTATAGAATAGACTTCACTTTCGCCTTTGAGTTTTAGAAAGAAAAAGTTGGTTTTCCCTCTGGTACTTTGTTAAAAATTAAGTACTACATTTAACCTTCACTTTAAATATTAAGAATTATATTGAGTTAGCAATTTAATTGATCATCACAAGTTAGTAAAGTTCATTTTGATTTTTTAAAAATTAAGTCTATGAAGAACACTTATTTTATATAAAAATGACTGATAATAACAGAACTCCTTGAAGACAATATCAGGAAAGGTAATTTCTTCCTTTACTCTTACTCTACCTTTTAAATACATTCTTTATGCAGTGATAGAAAACAAGGATGTTTATTTCTTCCTATTTGAGTAGCCACTTTAACCAGTGTCCCGAGCACTCCAATATTTTGTTTTACCCTATCATTAATATAATGATGTGTAGTTATTGACTTATGACTTTAAATTTTTTTTTCCTCTTCAACTATGAAGTAAAATTTCCATGTATTAACAGCCCTTAATATTACTATGATGTATGGGTCATCAGATTTAATGAAACCACCATGATTAATGGCACTATAATGGTTTAATTAAAATAAATGAGTAAAAAGTAGACAAGATGAAATATAGTATAAGGATATATAAGTCACAGTCAGTTAAACAAATGAACTTAATACAAATTAAAGTATTTAAAATACGAATAATTGACCTCACAAGAAATTTGACCATGATACAATACAAATTAATGTTTGCAAATATATTAACTAGCACTTCAATAAATATCCCCTAAACACCTTCCCTGTACACTGCTAGACAATAAGGAAAGTCAAGATGGAATTATGTTGCATTAGAATATATTATATTGCATTACTAAAACTTAAAGAATCTCTTAATATAATGTGATAATATGTGCTAAAAGACATGGTCTTAGTCAGTCTGGGCTTTTATTTCTTTCTATTAAAAAAGATTTATTTATTTATTTATTTATTTATTTATTTATTTATTTATTTATTTGAGAGAGAGAGAGAAAGAGAGAGAGATTGAGGGTGGGAAGACAGAGGGAGAGAGAAACTGAAGCAGACTCCCACTGAGTGTGGAGCCTATCACAGGGCTTCATCTCGCCACCCTGAGATCACAATCCTGAGATCATGACCTGACCTGAGCTGAAACAGAGTCGGACTCTTAACCAACTGTGCCACCCAGGTGACCCATTTTATAAAAAATCCCCATAAACTGGCAAGTTTAAACAACAGGCAGTTATTTCTCACAGTTCTGAAGCCTGGGAAGTCTAAGATCAAGGTTCTGGAGGATCTGTTGTATGGTGAGAACCAGCTTCCTGGTCACGGATGACTTCCTTCTTGCTATATGTGAAAGAGAGAGAGAAAGAAGAGGCAAGATCTCTCCTGTTTCTTCTTTTAAGGCCATTAATCTTATTCATGAGGACTCCACCCTCATTACCTAATTAATTTCTCAAAGGCCCTACCTCCAAACATTGGGGATTGGGCTTCAACATATGAACTTTGGAGGGACACATTCAGTCCAGCACTCACATCCAGATAAAAATGGATAAGAACAATGATAGCAATAAGAATAAAATGCTATGGGATGAAATTGTAGGCAGACTCTTATTAACTTGGGAAAATAACAAAAACTCCATGGAGTCAGAGACATATTTAAGTTTTAAAATGGTAATTCTGAAATTATGGAGCAAGCTAGAGTAATTTAATATCAAAATTTTTAATTAAAACTGATTACTTCCTTCAGATGTCCAAATAGTTCACAGTCTTTTCATATCTTGACTTAAATGGCAGGAAAGAACATTAGGTATTAAAAATAAGATTCTCTCCAAAAATAAAGAGCTACAAACTCATTTGTACTTTTCCCTTGTTTTCATTCAAGAATAGGAACCCAAATAGTGGCCTTTTTGACCAGAGTTGAAGATCCTAGGACTAATTACATAGCCTTAATATTTCCTTTAAGCAATGTGACTACTTAGGATGTGTATGAGTTAGTGTATGTATGTTTGAGTGCATGTACATGTGTGTGTCTATGTGTGTACATGTATGCTCAATTTACAATATCAATTGAAGTTCAAATTTATTATACCAATAAACCAGTTTCTTTATATCTCAATGATATACACATTCAAGAAATGTTTTCTGGAAGATTTTCCTTCTTGTCTGTCTTCCTGTATTCCTTTCCTGCCTCTGTCCTTTTCTCATTCCTTCTTTGCTCAAACAGATATTGATTGTGGCTACTACGTAGAAAACATTCATTTCTAGAAAAGTTTATAAATATCTCCCTTATGCATAATGAACAACAAATAGATAGATGATGATGATAGATAGATAGATAGATAGATAGATGTATACATGTACATGCACACATACTCATGATTACATGCGTACACACACATACCACACACATATATATAGTAATGACTGTCAGTTTTTCTGGACATATCAAACTCTCTAAATAATACATTGTTAATTTTCTATATAGTATTTTAGACTCATTAATCCAGTCCATATATTTCTTAAGCACATGAGATAGACATATATGATAGGTACTCTTTACGGCAAGCTGGACACAACAGCAAACAAAACAAAATAGACTCCGGCCTACTGTTTCTTTTTTATTCCAGTAGAAATGAGAGAGACAGTAACCAATTACAAATACACATTGTGCTCATAAATACTTTGAAGAAAAATAAAGGGAAGTAAATGATAAGATTGCGTTGGTGCTCTCTTAGATGAGGAGGTCAGGAATGACCTCTTTGGGAAGATGAGATTGAAGAAGAGATTTTATTGAAATGAGAAAAAGCAGGCATGTTTCAGTCAGAGGGAGCAGCATGTGCAAGGTCCCTGAGCACGACTGTGTGTGGTGCATTCGAAGAACAGTAAAAAGGCAAAAGTGTCTGAAGGACAAAGACTGCAAAGGAGACCATCCGTAACTGAGACTGGAGAGCTGATTAGGAACCATGGTAAGGAATTGGATTCATACTTATATTGGTAAACACTGGAGGAATTTATTGTTTGAAATGATCTCTCTGGCTCTGTGGAGCCCATATTATACGGGATCTGAACAGAAAGGGAAACAAGGAACTGGCAGTTTTGTGGAAGTATAGGTAAGGAGCATGGTGGCACAGACTATGGTAACAGTGCTGGACATGGTAAGTATACATCTAAAAAAATAAACAAATTATGATTATATAGGTTGATGCATACTCACAAAATGAACACATTCCCCCAGAGTGACCAGAAGCCCAAAACAAAAAAACAGAGCACTGCCAGCCTCCAGAATGATCACCAGAAGAAACTACCTGCCCACAAAAGTGACCATGCTTCCAATTTCTAACACTGTAAGTTCATATTGTCCATTTTGGGTTTTTTTGCTCAGTATTTTGTTTCTGCAATTCATTCATTTTATTGCATGTAGCATATTTTATTTACTCTCATTACAGTATAATATGCTATGGTATATTTATTTACATTTAGGTCATTACCAGTTGTGGGAAACAGAATGCCACAACGACCACGGGTGCATATTCGCTCAGACTCCAAGATCTCTGAGAAAACTCGAGATTGCAGGGTTAAAAATAACCCGAAAGGATCAGAGTGAAATGCCCTTGGGACGTGTGTGGTCAGTTCTAAAGTACGCAGCAGAAGATGTTTTGTAGATAGGAAGCCAGCTGCAAACAGCACACTGGGCACTCCCCTCTTTGTTCCTTTATTCTGTTTTTAAAGATTCTTATGTGCTTGACTAATCCTGGGTACGAGGAGGAATGTGCCTTACTACGCCCCTGCTGTAAATCATTATAGATCTATATCGCTGTAGAAGGTATATAAGATTATGGAAAATAAACCTCGGGACCTCGGGCTGTTTGCTCGGGGTCCCCTGTGCCTCGCTATACTGTCGTGTCTTTTTCTCAGTTCCTTCACTGCCCCAGGTCCCCAACTCTCAGAGGTCGACAATCAGTTTATGAAATTCTTGTACATATTTTTGGTTTCATAAACACTCTTATCTTTGGGGTTTATTACTAGGCATAGAATTGCTAATCATAGGATACTAACAATTTTCCAAAATGATTGTACCACCTACTAATGGTGTCTGAGAGTTCTGATCACTCCACGTCCTCACCAATAATACATGTTCTTTGTCTTTCTTTTTTAGCTACTCTGGTGGGTGTATACATTAATGTAACATAGGAATTTAATTTATATTTTTTTGATATCCAATAAAATAGGCAAGATTTAATTATTTATAGGCCATTGACTATCCTTCAACGTGAAGTGCTCTTTCAAATTTTTAGTCCGTTTTTGTATTGGGTTGGTTTTTATTTTTCTTACTGATTTGTAGGAATTTTGAATATATTTGTAAAATGTGTTTAATTTGAACATTTCCCTTTCTGTGCCTCACCTTAATGGTGTCTTTTGATGAACAGATGTTCCTAATTTTAGTTTTACTGATGTCCATATTATCAATTATTTCCTTTGTAATTAATGTTTTTGTATTTCTATTTTTAAGAAGTCTTTGCCTATCCCATGGTCAGAAAGATGTTCTCTTATGTTTTCTTCTAAAAGCTGTGTGGTTTTAGTTTTGAAGGGGAGCAAAATATACCACCCAAAATGTGCGTGTTTGACATGAGAATTATTTCAGGCTAATTATTTTTAAGAAACAGGAGACATAGGAAAAGCTCTGAAACTCAATAGAAATTATCCTTTTATAAAGAAACATTTTCATTTATAAGGGAAATCTCCATTTACAAGGGTATCTCCTTCTCTGTACCAGGAAGAAGAGGATGTCTAAATCTTCAGAAATTCTTATCAGTGGAGAAGGTAAGGACTTAAATCTGTAAAACAACCATATCTTTGATTATTTCACTTTGCCTGGTAACTTCCTTTCCCTAACATCTTCTTTGGTCTTTAGCTAGAGATAGTATTTAAGGTGGTGGCTTGGGCTGTTTGGGAGACTAACCAAACCAAAGGGAGTCTGTCTACCAATAAAGCTGGAAGCCAATAAAAACTGACATATGGCTTTTGCTAGATAGGCAGTTTATCAGTGTGACATCACCCGGGAGAATGGGGACCTAATGTTCCAAAGTTCCAAAGTTCCCAATGGCTCGCAAGTGAGAGTTTTTAAGGGGATATTTTGGAGTAGGGGTCTCCTGAGAAGCTGGAGACCATTGAGTGGAGGTCATGCTAGCAGGGGCTTTGATGCTACTTCATCTGGTCCCTGGGAGGTCTTTACCCTCTCAAGAGAATTGGAATATGAAAAATATCTTTATTCTTTTTTTTTTTTTAAAGATTTTATTTATTTATTTGAGACAGAGAGCATGAGAGGGAGGAGGGTCAGAGGGAGAAGCAGACTCCCTGCTGAGCAGGGAGCCCGATGCGGGACTCGATCCAGGGACTCCAGGATCATGACCTGAGCCGAAGACAGTCGCTCAACCAACTGAGCCACCCAGGTGCCCAAAAATATTTTTATTCTTAATGTTAGAGATTTTGTTTAGCGTGATTACTTTTAAGCTAGTGGAGCTGCATTCCTACATGTGCCTTTGAATGTTAAGCAAGCACTCCCATCTCTTGAACCTAGGCCTGTGTGTTCCTTGGCCCGTCCAGCCATGCCTAGGGACAATATGACCTCTTAATGTTCATTCTTTCATCTGAACTGATAAGATTGACTTTGTCTTCAAGAGTTACCCAGTTTTCTGTTATCAGTAGCTGTGTCCAGGTAGGGGGATTAAAGTGATTTTTGTTTTTCTTTGTTATTTATGCATTTGGTACATTTTTGACACATTCTTTTAAATTAAAAAAAAAAAAATTGAAAATTGAAAAAAAAAAACTTAGTTTTCCTGAGTCTTTTCTATGTATACAGGAGGTAAACATGTTATTAAACTTCTATTTTTATGTTTCTCCTATTAGTCTGTCTTTATTATGGTGGGGATTCTTAGCCAAGAACCTAGAAAGGTAAAGGAAAGGTTATTTTTTCTCCTTCACCTTTTCATATTTCTAAACTAATTTTTGAGTATTGTAAGGTAGAAGTAAAGATTCACTCTCTTCCTTGTGGATATCCAATTGACACAACACTATTTATGAGCAGATTATCTTTCTTCCAGTGAATCATATAAATCATACATAAATTAGGTGATGGTAAATGTTGGGTCTGTCCTTATGTCAATGGTGAGTCCCACTCCTCAGCCTTGGTTCTTGCATTCCACCAAGAAGGACTTCAGAGCCAAACTCTTAAGCAAGCATTTAATAGTAGTTTGAGGGAAAACACACTCCCAGGATGGCAGAGAGGACAGGCCCAGGGGTGGCAGCTGCATCAGGGCATGGGGTTGTCTTTTCTTTTTATGTTTGAGTAGGTTATGGGTCTTTGGTAGGGTGGTTCCTGACTAAGTTTGCAGGCAGTCATCTAAGGGACTCCTCCTACCTATCAGGAGGGGGACTTTTTGACCTTATATAGTCCTTGTCAGAACTGTCATGGCAGCTTTCTCTTGGGGGGGGAAGGGTTAAAACCACAATGCAAATGTATTATAATGAAGCTTTAGTTTACCTTAAGACAGTGGTTATAGGGAAGAATGCACCGTGTCTGTCCCAGCTGCTTGGACCTTGGTTTCTGCCCTTTTATCAGTCCAAAAGCCCTTGCTCCCTGCTCATAGCTAACTAACTGCCTACTTTATTACCTAGGCTCTTCCTCTGTTTTTTTTCTTCTTTTTCTTTCTTTTGGTCTCTGTATATTTCCTTGAGCCAATACTACCTTAATTCATGTCACCGTATCATCAGTCTTAATATCTAGTAATATACAGCTTTGTCCTTCTAAATTAGCTTGACTATTCTGTTTAGATACATTATTTTTTTTTGGCAAACTGATTGAGATAGGCTTCAATTTTATAGATTTAATTAAATTTTCATCTTTCAGAATAGTACATGTTGGATAAAAACTATGGAAATTTTAATAAAATTATCAAATATTTAAAATTGTGACAAATGTTATACAAGTAATAGACTTAAAATTAGGTAATAAACACGACTAACAGCAAACATCTGAGTCTTTAATCCACATTTGATTTTCTTCCTTCGTTTTTGTTGATGTTTTAAGTTAGAAATTATAAATGCTGTATTAAAATTTCTTGGAAGTAAACTTGTAAAGAAAAAGCACTCTTGTTTTTCTTTACTCACTCTCCACTACTTCACTCACACTTAGAACACTCCATAGAACTTCTGACACTAGATGTGTGGGGACTGCCCCCAACCCAGCAATTCTGTGACACCTGCCTGATGTCCTACAATCATTGTGCTTCTAGCTGACTGGCTATAAATCAGAGATTCCTACAATCCTGTCTTGGGTTTGATTAATTTGTTAGAACAATTCACAAAACTCAAGAAAACATTTTACTTGCTAGGTTGCCAATTTAATTATAAATGGATATAATTCAGGAACAGCAAGATAAAAGGAATGCATAGGGCAGGTGTGCGGCAAGGGGCATGGCCTCTTCTGGGTCTGCCACACTCCCAGAACCTCTGCGCAGATCAACCTGGAAGCTCTCCAAACCCCATCATTTTTAGGATTTTGTAGAGGTTTCATTACATAGTCATGGTTGATTAAATTATCGACCACTGATGACTAATTCAATCTTCAGTACCTCTCCCCTCCCCCAGAGGTCAGGGGTTGGGGCTAAAAGTTACAACCTTCTAATCACATGGTTATTTCCCTTGGCAACCAGTTCCCAGCTTTAGAGGCTGTCCAAAGGTCATCTCATTAACATAAACTCAGCCTAGTAGAAAGGGTCTTGCTATGAATGACAAAAGAAACTCATTTCACCTTCATGCTCTGGAGCAATTTCAGAAACTGGGAACAAAACTAAGTATTCTAACAAAAGAGGATCCCATGACTCTTACATAGAAATTTTCAAGGGTTTTAGGAGCTATGTGCCAGGAACAGTGGACAAAGAGAAAATATGTATTTCTTTTTATAAATCACAAAATTCAAAGATAAATAATGTTGGGTTTATTGCATTATAAAATACTGGATGGGCAACTTTAAATCATTGTCAGTGTTAAAAATTGATGAGAATTTGAATTCAGACTCATCACTTAATATTTTCCGTAGAAAGTTAATAACACAATTTCTTTTTAGAGCTCAAAATCCTAGTAAGAAATTAAAATAAATATTTTCTGTCATTTTTAAAATTAATCTTGTCTTCAGTTCTAACTTTATAACTTTCTTTGAGAGATTAGCAGCAGAATAAACTGGAAAAGTCAACAACACTCATCCAGTTTCTCCAGCTAAAATGTCTGGAGTCATCTCTGATTTACTTGTTTATATTCTTATCTAATCAATCAGCACATTTACTCAGCTCCAACAATGTAATACATATGGAATCTGCCTGCTTCTCATCATCTTCACCTTTACCATCCATGTTCAGCTTTACCTGGACTCTGGCAAATACCTAATTGGTCTAATGTCCTCTCTTGGGGAAGTCTATTTTCCACAAAACAGTGAAGACTTTTAAAAATCATATTCAGATCATGTCAAGTCTTGCTCAAAAATCTCAATAATAAACTTCATGACACACTTAGACTTGAATCCAAATGCTCACATGATCTGTGATGGGGTTCAGGACATACCACCCTAAAATATAACACCTTGACATATTGAATATCTTAAGCTGAAGAAATTTGAGAAAATGGCAGAAGCAGGGAGCTCACTCTTGATTTCCCTTCCCTCACTCTTTTTCTCTGACACAAGTCATAAAATTCTCATGTGAGAGAAGCCCTCCCTATATGCAGGAGGGAGGAAGATATATATATATATTTTTAAGATTTTATTTATTTGACAGAGAGAAACACAGTGAGAGAGGGAACACAAGCAGGGGGAGTGGGAGAGGGAGAAGCAGACTTCCCTCCAAGCAGGGAGCCCGACGTGGGGCTCAATTCCAGGACCCTGGGATCATGACCTGAGCCGAAGGCAGACGCTTAACGACTGAGCCACTGGGCGCCCCGAGGAAGATATTTTTATCACCAGAGACAGGGAGGGAGTTTGGGGCTAAAAATCTGTACAAACCAACCTTGCTAAACTAACCTTTATCTTCCCAGATACTTCATCATTTGCTATCCCTAGCCCAAGCCCCTTTGTTTTGTCAATTCCTCACAAATTTATTGTTCATTTGCCTAACAGGTATAAAAACATCCTGCTTGATCACTTCCTGGGTCTTTATTCTCTTGAGAAGGCTCCCATAAACATGTAAAAATTCAATGAAATTGGGCGCCTGGGTGGCTCAGTCGTTGAGCGTCTGCCTTCGGCTCAGGTCATGATCCCAGGGTCCTGGGATCGAATCCCGCATCGGGCTCCCTGCTCGGCAGGAAGCCTGCTTCTCGCTCTCCCACTCCTCCTGCTTGTGTTCTTGCTCTCGCTATCTCTCTCTCTGTCAAATAAATAAATAAAATCTTTAAAAAAATAAAATAAAATAAAAATTCAATGAAATTTTGTATGTTTTTCTCTTGCTAATCTGTCTTCATGAGTTTAGTTTTTGGACCCAACCAGGGACCCTAAGAGAGGTGAGGAAAACTTTTTCCCCTCCTACAACTATAGAATGTCACTGCCTGATATGTTTAAAACAGTATCTTCCCACTTTTTCTTAAGTCACATGTGCTTGCTGAGTCCGTCTTCTTACCTTCTTTAAGTATGTGAAGCGTACTCCCACCTCAGGTCTTCTGTATTTGCTGTTTCCTCTTTTTGAAATGTTTTCTCCTGAGATATTTGCATACCTTGCTCTTTGATTTATATCTCCTCTTAGGTGTCACTGATGCACAGGACATCCTCACTCAATCTAAAATAACACCAGATTCTTCTGGAGTTCCTAACACTTTCTTGCATACTATCCATTTGCTTTTTAAAATTGTTACTGTCTTTCTTGCTAGTTTAAATGTAAGCGGTGTGAGACTAGGGCAACATTGTCCCCTGATGTTTAGAATAGATCCTGGCAGAGAAATGTGTCTAATAAATATTTGTCAACTACGTGAATGGATCATGCATCCTAACTTTTTAGAAGTTCCTAACTCTGAAAATGCAAATGCACATACCTATTGTTCTACCTTTCTATGAAACCTTATTTCCTAATGACATGAAAAAAAATCATGGATGTCTGAGCTCTAAACTTCATTAAATTCCTCCATTGAAACTAATAATTACCTCTGGGTGAACATTATATAAAAAAATCAGCATATCTTATTAATTCAATATAAATTTATTAAGTTCAAACATATAAGTTATTGGAGATTCAAATACATCTAATGCATTATCCACTGTCTCGCAGCATTTAGTCAAGTGGAGGAGACAGATGTTAAAAAGAAAAGCACAGGCCCCAAATGGCATCACCTTGGCCAAGAACTTAATACCTAACTGGATTGCAGTTTCAACCTCCCCCAGAAATGTAGTTTTAACCAGTTAGTCAGGAATTTTCTGATAAGCACCCATGAGGTAATCTGTCACATAGGCCCCTTCTATTCCCCAAAGGAAGATGAGGTACACCTACATGATAAAACATTCCATTTTGTCCAACTTCTTGGAGTTCCCCCCTACTTGCTAGATGGGATGCTGCCGAATTCATGAATCATTTAATCCAATTAGATCTTCAAATTTACTCAGTTGAATTTTGTTTTTTAACACAAACAAATCAGCTAGTAAGTGTATAAAATAATGAGATAGAGGATAACACATGGTTTTATATGAACACAATAAGAGAGGCCCCTCATCTAAAATTGTAGTTCAGAATGGATTCTCAGGGAAGATGATGCCTGCATTATTAAAAGAACTCAAAATTATTTTTCACTGCAATACTATCTTCTAATTTCTCAATTTTTAGCCAACTAAGGTACATTTAGGTTTGACATTTTATTTTCTAAGCTATTGCTAAAAATATTATAGATTATATCAAGTGAAGATTGGCAGAACTGGTAAACTTCTCTGAATCAATACTGAATTACGAATTGTTAATCATTGTGTTTATGTTCCTGGACAGCAGAATACCTACACAATAATAACATTATCTAAACCATTCAGTGCTGTCAATGAAAAAAAAAAGTGTCATTTGAAAGAGAAATAATTGCTTTCCTGGAGACAAGATGAATCATATTTGCCCTTTCTTGCTATCGACAAAGCTTATCATGTTGTCATAGAAAGAAATTTGTTTGACAAGCATGTGTCTTACTTGTGATTTCTTTTAAAAAGCAAGAACATTGGGGTGCCTGGGTGACTCAGACGGTTAAGTGTCTGCCTTCGGCTTGGGTCATGATCCCAGCGTCCTGGGATCGAGTCCCGCATCAGGCTTTCTGCTCAGCAGGAAGTCTGCTTCTCCCTCTCCCTCTGCCTCTCCCCCTGCTTGTACACTCTCTCTGTCCCTCTGTCAAAAATAAATAAAATCTAAAAAAAAAAAAAAAAGCAAGAACATTTTTTAAGATGCATTCAATGAGTTTTAATAATTCTTGTTACCTTCAAAATCTGAGAAATTTAAATGTACACGAAATATCAAAAATACGAACATAAACCACATGTTTTCAACTTCAGTCACTATTTTGAGCTAAATAAAAATGACAGGATAATAATATGAATGAAAAAAAACAAATTCAGAATAAAGATTCAAGGACATATTTTAATGTAGAGAACTGTAAGCTTCAGGTTTGGCATAAATAGTAGTCATTCTCATTGAAGAAATAAGAAGAATCAGTGTTGAATGTTAAATTCTTTGCAAGAGTAAAGTAGTATTGAAATATAAAAGGAAAGGAGTGTGGAGAGAAAATAGAAGCTTTTCTTAGTTGGGTAAAACTTCATAATTACTCCATTCAGAATAATAATAAAATGAGCCTGAATAAAAGTAAGGATATTGAAATTTTTCTAATTAATGAAATATAATTTAAGATAGTTGGGACTGTTGGGAGCAAGAATTACTGTCCCCTTCACGAGGTCCTAAAGATGTGGGAAACAAAGGCAAAAGAAAAATTAAATTTTCTTATTACTTACAGCCCATTGACAAATCCTTGAAACAGGCAGAGTGATCTTCCCCCAGGAGCTCAGCTGCCTCTTGGTACTTTGCTAAGGGCAAGAGGCAATCTTAGCACTGCGCGCCACCCCCACCCCTAGGCTGTGAGTCTACTTTAATATGTAATAATTCCTTCAGAAACTTCCTTTATCTCTACCCCCTAAGATACATGTTGGCAATCACCCCCCAAGCATAAGACCCACTGATATGCACCTGAAGGGTCTCATGACTAAGGTTTTATTAGACAGTAATAAATGACCTTTTCATAGCAATAGCTAGCCCCCTCAGGATCCTGGAAACCTTGCTTCCAAATTCCTTAGAGACTTATGCTATCCCTAACCCCCTCCCAACTTGAAAGTATATAATCAGTCACCTGTCACAACTCCAGTGTGGCTCTTTCTGCACATGGGTCCTGTTCCCGTGCTTTAATAAAACCATGTTTTGTTCTTTCTTGGCTGTAGGCTCTGAACCTCAACATTTTCCTACATCACTTCTAGCTCGACTAAGAATCAAATTGACATGAGGCAGATTAACTGGAGAAAATAAAACTTAGTAGTGTATGTATGGGGAATCCACACAGACATGGAAAGACAGTCAGGCAAAATAAGGTGTGTATGTCATTCTGAACTAAGGAGAAGGGGGTAGGGATCTGGGACATCAGAGGAAAGGAATGCACTTCACAGGGTGATAAGAAGAGCAGATGTTTGGTAATTAGATATTTGCCCTGCCATAAAGATGGGCCATTCAGATAAAATTTATCTCTCTTAATAACCCTTATTCTGGGAAAGACTCCCCATTTTAGCTTATTATATGTAGTAAGAGAGGGACTGAAGTTTCTCTTGAGCTCTTTGGGTCTCAACCGCCTTCAGCTTGGAATAATCTTCATGTCAAGATTTTGAGGTGGCTTGCCCTTGGCCCTTACAAAACATACTTCAGATTTTTTGTAGCCAAAAATATATGCTTTCATAGACTAAATTAATATCTAGAAGTTCCTAAACAACTCCTTTTTATTTTATGTTGTGTAGACAGTAAAAGAGACACCTACTTATTTTCTTTTAATCTAATAAAAATGCCCCGAGATTGAAGGATAATGGTCTTAACTCGTAAAGTCTGTTTTGACTGGCAAGAGTTTAAATTTAAATTTAATAGATAACTCATTTTAAGAAGCACAGTGTAAATCTAGACAGATAGATTTTTAACTCAGAATGTGGTATTCCTTAACTTGACCTTGTAAGGGAGGAAAAATCATTTTCTCCCTACCTTTCTGAATTCTTGGCAAGACCCCCTATAATAAGAGTCAGATTAACAAGAGAAAACAAATTAACTATACAAGTATTCTTTATGTATATGTGAAAGATACTCAGAAAAGATTGGATAAATTCTCTGAGATGACCCAAGCCACTCTTTAAATACTAGCTTAAACTCAAAGACTAAAGTTGTGTGAACTGGGGGTTGGGGGGTGTTAATAATGTATTGGAAGGTGAGAGGAGGAAATGTAACCATATATTTTAAAGAGAAAAAATATGGTAAAAAAAAATACAAGAGGGGGGGCGCCTGGGTGGCTCAGTCGTTAAGCGTCTGCCTTCGGCTCAGGTCATGATCCCAGGGTCCTGGGATCGAGCCTCACATCGGGCTCCCTGCTCGGCGGGAAGCCTGCTTCTCCCTCTCCCACTCCTCCTGCTTGTGTTCCCTCTCTCGCTGTCTCTCTCTCTGTCAAATAAATAAATAAAATCTTAAAAAAAAAAAAAAATACAAGAGGGGGATAGATATTTTTTCAAGTTTATGTTGGAAAAGTGAGATTAAAAATTCTGGTGATAAAAACGTTTTTCCTCAAATCATATAATAAAAAATTCAAATCCTTCTCCAAATATAAACAGCATAATAATTATTGAGATTAATTTTCCTTAATCTAAGTGTACCATCATTTATTTTATTTGTTACCAATTGAAGGACACTGGCTGCTTGCAGGTTTTCAAAGATAAAAATTGATGTTAAGAAATATATTTTTTTAAAGATTTTATTCATTTATTTGACAGAGAGACACAGTGAGAGAAGGAACACAAGCAGGGAGAGTGGGAGAGGAAGAATCAGGCTTCCCGCCGAGCAAGGAGCCCGATGTGGGGCTCGACCCCAGGACCCTGGGATCATGACCTGAGCCGAAGGCAGACGCTTAACGACTGAGCCACACAGGCGCCTGATGTAAGAAATATTTTTGAACCTTAGGTAAAAATAAGTTTTCTTATTGTTTCTAATACATCTTCAGGCAATTATCTTCAGTTCAGATGTATAAATATATTATCTGAAAATAATAATTTTGTTTCTTATCTTTGATATTTATATTTTCTCTTTTATTGGCTTATTTCTTCATATATATTAAATAATTGTGGACATTCATATTTTGTTCAGGATTTTGAAGTATATACTTCTTTTACCTTTGTAAAAGGTAATCATGTTAAGGGCATGCCGCATATGTATATTGATCTTGAATTTTATTCAGTGTTTATTTTAGAACTCTTAAGATTATATTTCTTTTTAAAATTGACTTTTTGCTTTATTAGATATGAGCAATTGGTTGTGGAGTAATAGTGTGATAGAGTAGCACTGAATTATATTTATTAGCATTTTATTTAAAATGTTTGCCTTGATTTTTATAAATGAGATGGCTTACATTTGAAAAGCATTTAAAAACAGTTAATTGTAGAGAGTGTTTTATAAGTGCTTTAACTATTTTTTAAATGTAGGAGTTGTGATCATCCTTGATTTCTTGATTTAAAAACTCCAAAAATGTCCTATCTTATCTCAATACATACACAACAAAAGCTAGCCTGCTTCCTCCTATATCCAATCTCATGCCCCATCTTATCTTTCTGAATTTTTCAATGGGTGTTGGTAGCAATTTAAGTTTTATAGTGTTTCCATGATAACTTTATAACTTGAGTAATATGCATATACAACCACGTCTTGTTTTATTCAACTTAGATATAATATATTGACTCCTTGAATAAAGATGAGAAAATTACCAAATCTTTAATTCTTCACATCTTCTGTGCATCACAGACACAAACACACATACACTATACTAATATTTTACAATCTCAATATTTATCATATTCCCCCATTTCTAGACTATTGACATTTTTAACTCATTATCTATATTTAGGTAGTTCAATATTCATTATTATTCTTCTCACCAAAGAACTTATTTTATAACTTGGTTGGCTAAAATTTATTATAGGAATGCCAAATAAAAATTTTCTCTGAATCTATAAGTAAAGAGGACTACAATATGATTCCTTTAAGCAAAGAAAATGTTGGTAATTTTAAATTAAGATTTTAGACTTTGTCAGCTGACTGTTTGGTAAAAATAATACTATTAATAGTAATAATGTGTAAATGTGGTTCTTTACTGTCAGATGATGGCAGCTGAAGTTAATTGCCCTAAATTTGTGCTCAAAACTACTCATTATAAGGAATCCGTGACTTATAAAAATTCTTAGTAAAAATTTCAAAAACTTGTGATAATTTTCAAACATAAGTTATTCCTTTTATACTTCATCATATTATGATACCAGTTGTATTCTCATGTGTGATTCATTATGTGTTGACATTGTGACAACAAATGAAAATTTAAAAATAAGAGATTTAATCCCTCAGTTGAAAATAAGAAACTTGACATTTCTCCTTTCCCTTTTGCTTCAGAAAAAGAAAAAAAAAAGTAATATAAATCCTTTTGAAAACTAGATAGGCCCTTTGGCAACTTTATGATTCAGGAATGTCTTTTTCAATGGCTAAGTTGCCATCTCTGAAATGTAAACTCAAGTGACATAGCATTCCTGTCCCTTAGTTTCTATGGAAGGAGTCTAGAAATTTTGGTGGACACCTTGCTCCAAGTTGCAAAACTACCTCCTATCCTAAAGATAGGAGAAGTTTCTTTCTCCTGCGGATAAAGCCAAGTTAGTGAACACAATCATCCCCATTGCCCAATGAATCTAGGATGAATTATGTGTGGCAAATGGTGCTATCAAGTTCTTCTACTTAAGGACTAGTCATTGTTCATTTTGAAAACATGTATGTAATGGTAGTATCTGCTTGGCGACCCCGAGGGGTGAGGATTTTTTCCATTTTTTTACTCTCCTAGCAGATTGCCTGTAATGTGCATCACATTCTGATTTACTGTTTACCCAATAATAGAAGTGTTTTCTTTCTCTACTACCTTTGTGGACAGGTTTTTCTGGGTTGGGGGGAGGTTTTGCTTTTAATTATATCTCCCCAACAAACACAGTTTGACATATTTTATGTAGATCGAATACTAACTACAAATTATGAAGTATAAATATCTCTTCAACATCTGCAAGAAATGAGAAAGTATACACTAGAATTTTTATTATAATATTTATTAGTGGAATTGCCTAATTTATTTACTCATGACAAAAATCATTTGCCCACATATTCATGGATTAATTAAAAAAACTAAAAACATGGAGCATTTCCTCATTATATGCAAAGCTCTATATATGGCTCTGGGTATCTGTGTGAGGGGGTAAGATAAATAAAGCACAGAACTTGCCATAAAATAACTCATAATCTCCTGAGAGATTTATTCTTCCCTGAGGCAGGGACAGTCATTAAATATATTATAAGATAGAGTGAAATAAGCACTATTACTCCACCTACTGTATAAAATGACCAAAAGTGATAACTCTCTTTGATCATAATAATCTCTTGGTAATAATTTTTTTATTAGTAAAAATATGATATTCATTATGAATGAGATTTAAAAATGAATGCTGAAGGTAAATAGCCATGATAGATGAGTATTTCATATTAAAAAAATATTACTGCCTTTCAGGGAATTCCAAAAGAGCAAGCGAGATCTCCAGTTTTTCCTGAGATGTAGAATCCTCAAGAACCACATTGGGATGTTCACATGGGATACTGAATAGCACACTTTCAGCAACATAATATACTGCTGGTTTGAATGGGAGTGAATTTCCTGTCAAGCTTTGGTTATAACAATACTCTTCTGAAAAGTGCACTAAAATTTAAAGTGTAAAAAAATGTATTACAAAAAGAGAAAATAAAATAAATGAAAGTGTGGGTTTTTACCAGCTCCGATCATGAAAGAATAAAGTACTTGTATTTACCAAAAAAAATCATGTATTCAAATGTATATTAGCATATTATGGTTACCTATAAAAGCTAAACTGGAAACAGAAGAGACTAGGAAAAGGCTTATTAGAATAACTTAATTAACATGATATAACAGAGCTTGGAAAAATTCTATATTAGGAGACTTTTTTTTTTTTTTAAGATTTTATTTTTAAGCAATCTCTACACCTAAAGTTGGGCTTGAACTCACAATCCCAAGAACAAGAGTTACACACTCTACTGACTGAGCCAGCCAGGTGCCCCTGTATTAGGAGACTTTAAAAAATAGAAATAAACATATAAATCTTATACAATGATGTTTCTGTAATATGTTTTTTAAGAAAAACAGAAACAAAGACAACTCATGAAGTAAGAATAGGAAGAAGTATGATTTCTTTTCATCACTGCAAAGAATTTGGAAAATTATATTGTCAAATTAAACTATCATACTGAGAACTAGACTGAACTGTCAGCTTCAGAACATGTTAATTTTCTTATAGCTCAAGTAGTACTTAAACTATAGAAATATAAAATTATTTTAAGATTGTGTACATTATTTTTAAAATATGCACTTGTTGACTAGTAATTTGCATCTTGTTGGTTGCTTTTCCACTGCAATCAGGATTCTAGAATCATAATCTTGTCACTTTATATGTGATAAACTAGGATAGGGAATAGTAACAATATATGAGAGATAAAATTTTCTTACACTTTTATTAATCTGTATTATAGTGTACTTATATTTGTTTAGGCTGCAATTACCAAGTTCTGAAATGAGTAGCGAGTTTAAAGTTTATATTATATTAACCTGACGGTAGAAAATTACATAGACGAGAGGCATAGGTATGCACATACTATTTCTTTTGGAATAATAATGTTTTTTACATTAAATTGACTATGTAGTGGTATATATGTTTTTGTGTGGGTTCCCCTACTGCCACAATCAAAATAGAGACTTAGCAAGGGTTTATTTGAATGTAAGTTTATTTTGGAAGTAAAACCCAAAGAAAGGAAAGAAGAACCGAGACACTCATAGGGTTTTATTTAATGTTAATAGGTTTACACTGCCTCATCTCAAAGCGGTCACATTATAAAAGCACATCAGAGAAGAGTTAAAGTATGATTCAGTGGGCCTTTAGCTGAACGATCTGCAAAATATATTTATGATTTTATTATTTTTTGAAATTTCTTTAAAAGACAGTAAAAAAAAAAGCTTAAATTAGAATGTGAGATAATACATCGAATCACTTTAAAGTATAAATGAATATTATCAAAGCCTTTCCTAGGGACAAATTTTTAAGCAAGAGGAAATAGATACAAGAAAGAAAATGTAAAGAAACAGAAATGAGGGGCGCCTGGGTGGCTCAGTTGGTTAAGCGACTGCCTTCGGCTCAGGTCATGATCCTGGAGTCCCTGGATCGAGTCCCGCATCGGGCTCCCTGCTCGGCAGGGAGTTTGCTTCTCCCTCTGACCCTCCTCCCTCTCATGCTCTCTGTCTCTCATTCTCTCTCTCGCAAATAAATAAATAAAATCTTAAAAAATAATAATAAAATAAAATAAAATAAGTAAAAATACGATTTCTTTTAATGTGTGGGTGTGGGGGTAAGATAACCTGCTTTATAAATATTATGTGGATGGTTCCAAATATGTCAACTATTTTTATTCTGCTATTAAACATTTTTGTCATCACAGAAGAATCTGGTTTGCTTATTATGTATTGTGACCCATTTTCTCAATCTCATCTGTGACTTTAGCCATGTATTCCCTTTATAATTGTCTGTCCCAGGCCCTTGAGCCCCATCTGTCACTTTGAGCTTCAATGTTGCTCCAGTGCAGTAGATGTCTTTCGGAGCTCTCTCTTTAGGCAGACATGCAGAACTTTGAGAGGTAGGAGATCTCTTGCACAGAGGGCCAATTCTAAACCAATGGGAAATGAAAACTGACTAACAAATACTTTTTCCTGTTAATCCTTGCCTCTCAGATGGATAGTTTGAAAAGCATCCCATGTGCTTTTTTAAAATCTCAAGGGGACTGAGCCCCAGTTTCCCTTAGAAGTGACTGGATTGTGCACTCTTATTATCAAATTCTCATCTTTGCTCATGTTCCCTGAGACTACTTCCAAAAGAATCTGTATGCATCTAAATCCTTGTCACAGGCTCTGCTTTAATGGTGGTAGCTGGGCAAGACAAGCTGAGACTTAAGCATTACCACCCACCAAAATTTAGTATCATTTTAGTACAGCAATGTTATTTATTCCACACTTCCTAATTCAAGTGTTTCCTCAAACAATTCTCCAATGTTTAGCAATTTTCCTCTTTGTGTTTTACATCTTTATTGTAAATTAGAAAATCTTCTAGACAGTATCTGTGTAATTTTTATACAGCAACATTTTGGTTATTTCATTTTGGTGCTTATTTAATTTGGTTCCTTATTTAAATAATAATTTAAATTTAATTTAATAATTTATTTTATTTTAATAAATTCATTATTTTATTTCAATTTATTATTATTTTATTATAGACTGCTTGGTTCTCTAGTTAAATATAATTGTCAAAACAAAACTATTATAGATCACCTATTAAAAGTTATGGTGCTTGGCAATGGTGTAACAAGTATGGAACAAAATCTTGCCTTTGTTAACCATTATTATTGTTTAATGTTTCTTATTTAATGTTTAATGTTTCTTAACAATAGGTTAACAATAAGTTAAGAGACATTAAACATGAATAAGTTAGGTGAGAAGAAAGAGAGGTAATTTGAGTCAACCACTTTCAGCTAGTCTCATGTTTAAAAATATTTGGCTTCTCTGAATTTTTTTCTAATTGTACATTATAAAATCTACAATATGTTTCCCCTTACAATGATGATAAAGCTGATAGCTACTGGATAGTTTATTCACATTGTCCCATTGAGAGTTATTTACTCACTATTCAATCTGAATTAGCATCTCCTGTCACTCTGTGTCCTGTTACCTTGATAGTTATCCATAGCTCTTATCAATAGCAGCTAGAATATAATACATGTATAAGTTTATTTCCTATTTCCCCCACTGGAATATAAGCATGGTGAAGAGCGGGTCTTCGTGCTGTTTGTGCATGGAAAACAGAAAATACTGAATCAATAGTTGCTATTTAAAAGAATGAGTAAATTTGCACAAAAACTTTGAAAAGAGAGTGTTCATATTCCCATTTCCCAGCGAAAAACTTGATGCTTCTGAGCAGTTGAGCTAATTTCTCAAGACCATTCTGTTTATAAAAGTTGAAACAAAATTTGGTAACAAGTCTAACATGATCTAATGTTAAATCTATATTTTTTTAGTACACCATCCTGACTTCAAGATGTAACAATGTACCAATAAATGGTCTTATTCTATTAGATGTTTTTAATGTGCTTGAGTGAGTGTGGGGTGCCTGAAGGATGCTGCCCAGATCTCTGGCCCAACTTAGACCTGGCTCATAATTAATTGGAGATTCTCAAAGTACAACAGAAACTTTATAAAACTCAATGTATTTTATGTTAAGGTTACCTTCTGTGATCTTTTCTAAAATGTGAAACTGAATGAATATTTCATTAGACATTTTAAAAAGAAGCTCCAAGTAGCAGGGGTATGGCATATGCTATGTCAAAGAAATAGTAATATAGATGACATTGAAACGCTGACATTGTAAAATATTCATGACAATATAAGTATCTATGAAGACGCTGGAATCATAAAAACTTCTTGCACTGAAAATACATTCTCTTTTCTCACTTAAAAAGACTATACAATGAGATGCCCACAGTATACTTACTTTTGCACATTCTGTAATATTTCTGATGCTCTCAGAATATATCAGGGAAAAAAAGTTAGATATTTGTAAATGTACATCCCAAGGTAGGATTCTAAACAAATTGTGTCTTTCTAAGAATAATCTTAATAAAACTCTACTGAAGGTGAACCTTCTCCTGGGCAGCCTCTTAGATATTTGTTCTCTGTCTGTCTGTCTGTCTGTCTCTCTCTCTCTCACACACACACACACACACATTCACACACTAAAAAACCCTTTTATTCTATGCCTTTTAACTAAATGATTATTAAATGCTTAAAATATATAATATGTTATCCCTTACAAAGAACCTTCTCATAACTATTTCATCTGAGACTCGGCAGGCAACTGTATAACAGGATATGTCTAGAAGAGAAAATGGAAAGTTAAAAACGTTTGGTGTCTTCTCAAAGATTTCATGTCCAGGAGATGTCACACGCTGCGCCGAGGCAGTCTTTCTGATTCTAATAGTGAACCGAAATTCTACAAGTGCTAACTTTGGTTTCTCTTCCTCTTCCTCCTCTCTTTCTTTCTCTCTCTCTTCCTCTCTCTCTCTGTTTCCTCTCCCTCTCTTCCACTTTGTCTTTCTCTCACACTTGCACACCCCCCTACTCATACCACAAAAATGTGATATTTCATTTCCTCAAAAAACAGTTGTACTTTGATTTGGGCATTGTCAGTCTTCCTCAAACTAAAAACAAACACGTATTTCCTATGAAGTACTAAGCATATACAATCTTATTAACAGACACCTGATAATTAGTTTTTATTTTTGAATGATACTAGTCAAGAGCTAGTTTTGAATATTTACTGCCAGATACTTTATTAGTACGGGATATTTTATATTTTAATTTTTTAAAGATTGTATTTGTTTATTTGAGAGAGCACGAGCAGGCGGGAGGGGCAGAGGAAGAGGGAGAAGCAGGCTTCCCACTGAGCAGGGAGCCCGATGTGGGACTCGATTCCGGGACTCTGGGATCATGACCTGAGCCGAAGGCAGACGCTTAGCCCACTGAGTCACACAGGTGCCCCAGTGCGGGATACTTTAGCTCATTAATACATTAAATAAATACTATTATCATCTCAATTTTAGAAGCAGAAAAGTTGAGGATGAGAGCGTTTTTAATTTGAGTAAGATAATATAGCTTAAGTGATTTACTAGTATTTGCGTCCTGGTTTTCTACCCTCTTTGTTTTGAAATTATATTTGATTCTACACTTGTTGTTTATTGCTTTCAAAATTTTATTTCCTTTACAATGAAGTATTTCTAGATATATTTGCTATATTTGATTTTACAGTTACTCATGGAAAATACAGCAATTGTTTTCAAATATATTTCTTTAATGTACCTTTCACTAGAGTCAAGTTAAATAATTAATACTTACACAACCACAAGCAGCCTCTTTTTTTTCAAACATCAGTAGTACCGCAACAGCTATTTTTATTTTTCACTGAGATAGAAAGTTAGACACCAGCTTATAATAGAGGTATACACAGATTCACAGTGAAGTTAATGACATTTAAGCTTCAGAATGCTCCATTTCCATAGGTTTCTTGCAAAGCACTTTGTCTAATTTTGTATTAGTTTTCTTAAGGAAAATCCCCAAATAGTACAAATTTCAAAGTCCTTCCCCCCAAGATTGTGTTCTCTTTTATCCAGGGTTAAGTTTGTTAAAGGTCTCTTGGAAA